CGCGAAACAGCCGGGCGCGTTTGCCTATGTTGCTTACTTAAAGTTTCCACCAATTTTATAATGTTTCTGCTCGATAATGTTCATGGTGTAATTCAATTTTTAAATCGTTCACCACATAGAGGAATTATGATGCCATCGTTTAGAACATTTGGAGAAATCAAGGAATTAATATTTGTGTAAATAGCCGTTACGAGGAGCATATCTGTCTCCGAACGGCGCGTTATTGTGTTCCCTTTATGTAAGAATTTGTGCGCTGTACTGAATAAATACTATGGATATGATTGATTACCTCCGTTCTTTGTTCCGTTGTGCTTTAAAAAAACCTATCGTAACAGATAGTCGCAATACGGGTCAAAATGAACAATTCACGGTTTTAGTGAGACCCCCTCTCCCTCTCCAATGACCACTTCCAAAAGGTTTTACAGCCCTCGCTGAGATCGCCTTGGCTGTTTTAGGAGGAAAATAATTTGTTATATTCAGTGATGTTTTCAAAGTAAAGAGTTTGTTTTGATATTGTGATCTACGGTGCCTAGCTAGCTGTTATGGTTGTTGAACAATTACAACGGAATTAAGTTGAAAGTTCTCGTAAAATGCTAATTAATTGTGAAATTTTAATTGTGCTTGGCCGTGTGTTGTTCTTTGCAGAAAAACCATTCCAACACGTATTCCAAAAGCAACTGAATTTGGTTGACAATTTCCAGTTTATATTAGAAAATAAATACTCCCGCAAGATTTTTTCATTCGAAATAGTAAATAGCTTTTACGTCGTTATCTTGAAATGAACCGTGCTGGTTGATTAGGGAAAACTCGGGGGGGGGCATTTCCTAGTGATGGGCTACTGGGGATGTGCCGCTGTATGGGGTCGTATTTCACGACAATAGTGACTACAAAAGGGGTCGCCTTTTCAGGCATTTACAAAAGAGTAAGTATAATGGGGTCGTACAATTTCGGGACTGTGTGTTAAAGAAAATCATTTGCTCGAAAGTGACTAAGATGGGGTTTATAATTGACCACAAAATAGACTAGAAATAGACTATAATGCTCAAACGTGACTAAGATAGGGTCTATAATTGGCCATAAAATAGACCAGAAACAGACTATAATGGGGGAGGGGTTCTGAGATGCCGGCGGGCACATACCAAGCAAAATTAAAGTTGACCCAAGTGATTCCCCAGGAAAAACTGGTGTTCGAAACTGTGAAATTTTCTTCAGCTGTTTCAACTTATAATGACCAAAACCGTTGTTGAATCGGTACTGCTTCAAACAAATCACTAGGCACAAATTCAACAGAGACAAATGCTGCTTATTTAAAGTAAATGAACCGGAAACGTTTTCTCTTACTTGAACACAAATTAAAGACAATTCGAGACTCTTCGTTCCACAGATTGAACACGCTAAGGTGTTATTAAATGTTAATTGTTATTACATGTTTATTGATTTGCGTTTAGTAGTACATCCATTTTCCGTTTCCGGAAGTGGCTTATTCTCGGCGGAGCGCTTGGCTGACTGTGAAGGGTGTGTTATTGTTACGCTGTTGTTCCTTTTATGTAAGAATTTGGCGCTGTACTGAATAAATTTTATGGATTAATCTCCTTTTCTTACTTCTACTCTGCTTTTGAACAGATTTTCTCGTTTTGGTGGGGACTATATGTGTTAAAATGAACAATGTTTCAGCTAGACCCCTCTCCCCTCCAATGTGGTATTAAAGTATTCGCTGAGATCGACTTCGCTGACAGTGAAAGACGTTTTTAAAAGTACTTTAATTTATTTAAGGTGGAAAAATAATATATTAATTTGGAGTTGTTATCAAATAAAGGGGTTGCTGCCGTAATGGTTGTTGAACAATAATAAAAGAAATCAAGTCAAGTGTTTGCGGAAAGTTATCCTGAAATGCTAATGAACTAATGTTGTGAAATTTTAATTTTTAAATTTGGCTTGGTCGTGTACTGTTCTTTCTTGATAAACCACTTCAACGTCAACTCCATTTGCCTGGTTTCCGTTATTTAATAGTAGATAAGTACTCTTCCAAATATTTTTTCAGTCAAAATAGTAGATAGGCTTTAGGACGTGATCTTGCGATAAACCGGGTTGTTTGGTTAATTTAATCGAGTTCCTGATTAGGAAAAATCTATTCGCTTGGGTAGGCTGAAACGAATTGTGGAATATTGGTTTGCTGTTTCAGCTAATAATGATTAAACCTGCAAGAGTTAGGAACGATCTCAGCCCAATCACTCGACGACAATTCAAAAGATCAGACTTTAATGTTGGTTGTAAACGTTGATTGATCGATTAGCCAAATAAAGCAAAAACGCTTTCCCATACTTGCGGAGTCAAACTGAACCCAAAAACTGAGGACGGTACATACTAGTGGTTTTCCATATCCTAAAGCCGTACATCCGTTTCCTGAAGTCGTTTGGCTCAAACTCAAAAGTTACAAACAACAATAGACGATTTCCTATACTTTTAATCACTTTATTATTTGCATAATGTTTCAACTGTAAATACCTTTTTATTTCACTTAGCTATTCATATATATTATTGTATTTATTAGCTTTTGGCACGGCTGTTAGTCACATATCTTTTTTTAATATTGTTTTCTACTATGTTTGAGCAGGCCCACATCAGCATTTGCTGCCTCGTTCAACCTACTTTACCAAATGAAAAGTCTATCTATTAATATCGCTTAACCTATTATAGCAAATTATATTAACGATGCCTGTTATCAACACGAACTTCAAAAATTCATTTAATTTTGTGCAAATAAACATAAACATCATTTAACTTAAAACACCGCTTTTCTTTTTCTAAAATTCGCGTTAATTATATAACGCGTAAATTTTGTTCGCACTGTTAAAATGCTTCGTTATATTTCGGTATTCCCATATAAAGGTATTTCCGTATCCTAAAGTCGTTGGATTTCCGTATCCTGAATCACATGGAGCAGAAGAGTTCTTTTAGAATGAATAAATCAAAAACGTCTGAACTCTTTGAAATGCACTGTTGCGTAAAATCTCTCGGCAAAAGGGCTGATTTTCGAGTCAGTATACATTCACTTGCGCCCGTCTACTTCTCCTAAAATCGGATTCGATCGTTCCGAACCGCCATGTAATATTTAACATTTCCAAACCGTGGTCGTCTAAAGGCTGCCATGGTATTTTCTTCCAAGGAATTTGCCTCGGAACTTCGTGCCTCTCTCGGAAAGCTTCACTTCCGAGGACATTCCAAGGCAACGGAAGACTGCCGGCGGCCCAGGGGGGGTACTCGAAATTTACATGACGGGGGGTCCGACGTATTTTTTTGGGTTGAACATTTGGACTCTCGGTATTTTTTTGGGTCTAGAAATACGCCAGGTATTTTTTTGGGTTGACAAATTTCAAAGCGATTTTTTTCATTGTTTGATAGAATAAATCAGTATTTTTTTTGGGTAGGAAATTTTCATGCCAGGTATTTTTTTAGGTGTCAAATTTCAGGCTCGGTATTTTCTTGGGTTCGTAATATGAAGCTCCGTCGGACCCTCCCGTCAAGTATACTGAGAGTACCCCCCCTGGGGCCGGCGGTCGCGATATTCAGCACTGGATATGCTTCAAAATAACGGCGGACGGTTAGACCGGCGCAAATGAATGTAAACTGACTTGGAAATGAACTTTTTTACCGAGAGAATTCACGCAACAATGTAATTCAAAGAGGTCAGAAGTTCATTAGTTATTTATTCTGAAAGAACTCTTCTGCTCCCTATGACTGAAGTCGTTTCCCGTAGTTCCTTGTTTCTGTACAGACCTTTGCACATTTTGCTAGAAGTTTTATCAACGCTTTAATGAGTCTAAAGAATGAATAAAAATCTGGCATAGATTCACAAGGATCCAGCTCCCATCTTTGTCCATTGCAGAAATGTATAGCATATTTAGAAGGGGCAGTACCAGAAACGAGAATTTCCAGTGGAGGAGATGCAACATAAAATTCAAATTGGAATTGAAACTTATGAAATCATTTATCCCCTTTATTACCCGAGAGAATTTACCTCGATAACCAACAGAATATAAACAAAAAAACAGACCGAAAGACATAAGCAATGACAAAAAGCAGAAAAATAGCCTGTTTACAAGATACGAAATACTAATAACCTGTTTTAACATAATGTCCGAAGTGAGCCAGGCAGTAACAAGAATACCGCAAACATTAGAGCCCAGACGTCCATTAAATGACGGTACGCATGACGGACTAAGGCTCCAGTCGACCCTGAATTCATAGTACGTAAACACGGCGATAATTTGCTTTTCAGTGAAACTTCTGTCGCTTTTGCCGGGCTGTAATGGAACGTCATAGCAAAGTGTCTGCACTGCGAAAGTTGACTGTAGGGAAAATCATAAAAACTGAAGCATAAGCAAAAGAATTTTAGTGAGGAAAAGAAAAACCCTTCTTTATAAAATTTCATTCTCAATCTTCTCCATTGGTTTACCGCAAAACAATGGAACGTTTTCCGTTTCCTGAGGCTACTTGTGTCCGTTTCCTGAGGTGGTCTGTATCCGTTTCTTATTGCATCTTGCTCCAATGTGTTAACCGCAGCATAAATAACTATGCTAATGACGACATTGGATGTTATTTAAACAGACCATGTTAGGGCCAGATCAATACGCCATCCACAGTAATCCCAAGAGAGGCTTCGAGAGTGTCCACAAGTTAAACTGACAAGAAATTCTGTCTGTTGATTTTGTCTTAAAAGGTAATTCATTAGTTAACAAGTAGATTTTTCTGTATTTTTTTCCAATTTCTCTTTCAGGGTGTTCGGATTTTCAACTTATTTACTTCAAGGTATTTTTTCTCGGTAAACAAGTAGTGTGGTGCTACAAATCGACTTAGATTGTGTTCGCACAGAAAATGCAACTAACACTGACTTAAAAGATATATTCAGATTGACAATATACTAACTTAAAGCTTCTGTTATGTATTTCTAAAGGAAAATGAAGTGCTTTTTTGTCCTCTTGATGACTTTGGGCCTGGCGATGTCGTTTCCTCGAATGCGGCGTGATGCTGCGATGGATCCTGAAGAAGATGATCCCATGGAGCTAGAAAACACAATGCCTCAAGGTAAGGCTAGCCGTTTATTAAAAGTGGCTGGTTTCATTGTACTTTCAAATTGACACTGTGTTTGCTTCTTTTGCGCTAAACAACTCCCATTTTTTAATCTATTACATTTCGACTGGTTTTGGGGCGCTTAAGTTCTGCGGCTGGGGTGGAATATGTCTGATTTGTTGCTGTGCCGGGAAGAGAATCTGAGAGATCACACATGATGCTAACTTCGTCTGGCCAATTGCTAAGGCACAAAACGTTAGCTTTTCAACTTTCGTAAGGCGTCCACGTGTGCAACTTCAAGTTAATAACTACTTACTTGTTTAACTTTGCTCACCGACGTCGCACAGTAGGCTCTTTTGAAAATCAGTAGCGATTTTTTATATCCCGCTCTAAGCCTGAAAAATTTTTTCAAGTCTTAGTTCCAGTAGCGTTATTGAAGGCTGCAATCGCATTTATTACTGTCGTATCTAACTTCTTTCTTTGTTTGACAGAAACAGAACTGAACGACCCAAGCCCACAGTTTAATTTTGGCGGCAACTCTGGCACAATTGGCCAACAGGGGGAAAACTATGGGACGGCTATCGGCCAGCAACACAATAACCGGTATGGGCGACGTCAGTTTAATTTTGGAGGCAACTCTGGCACAATTGGCCAACAGGGGCAGAACATGGGGACGGCTATTGGCCAGCAACACAATAACCGGTATGGGCGACGTCAGTTTAATTTTGGAGGCAACTCTGGCACAATTGGCCAACAGGGGCAGAACATGGGGACGGCTATCGGTCAGCAACACAACGGTAGGTGTTATTTCTTGCACAAAACGATCTTATCTCGTCTCATTCTATTTTACCTTATCTTGTCTTGTGTATTAGCTCATCTCAGAAACATGACAATCATGGACCAATCACCCATAATTGCTTTAGTAGATACATGTACTGTAAAGAATCCTGTGAACACCATTAATGCTCTGTCTTTTAAAGTAAAAACGAGCAACGTGAAACCCGATTCGCGAATTTCCAATAGAACACTCTGCATCCAGCAAACAGTATTTAAAAAGAATGTAATTATACTAACCAAATTGTTAATTATTATTTTTTATTAATTATTATTTTTCAGGTGGATATTACGGAAAGTGAATTGTCCCGTCAGTTAACTTGAAAATGGAAACAAAACCGCTGTTAAAGTTGGAACACTTAATAGCTCAGTAATTTTGCGCTTTAGGAGCTGATGTTATTTCAGCACATGTAGGGGGCAATAAAAGTAGAAAGCAATAAAAGTGTTTAAAATGCAGTTTTACTGTTTGCTGATACGTTTTGCTTCCAGTGGCCTTTAATGTGTCTTTGGTCACTTTCTGGAGGGATAGGACAACATAAAATGTTTTGGGAAACGGGGTATTACGTGACTTCTTAGAAAATTAACTCTGGCATCCAGCTGAGGGCTGATTGTAGCCTTTGAATGCTGCCTGTGAGTGTAACCTTTCTTAATCTAAAAGAAAAGCCTCTGGTTTATGATATTATCTATCCTCTTTCCGCCCCCAAAGCTTTCGGGTTAATGCTGCGACTGTGTCTGGTGAAACAAACAGGAGTACTATTAACTGCAGATACGCACAAGAAAATATTTGAGATATCTTCTTTGGAATTCTTGATTCTCCACAGAATTTTGTTCTAAGCTCAGTCAGTTTTTAACGGCACTTCTCACAAGTATGTACAATTTTAACCTCAAGGCAAGTTTAATTACCCAGGCAGTAAAACGGCAGGACTTGTGACGTATGACAACTATGAAACTCATCACGTTTTCTTGGTCAAAAAAATTCACATTTAAATCTATAAAAACCATCTAAAACACGTTATTTATTTTGGCGATTGAGAGTTGTTCTTGCACTCGACGCCGTTCTTTCTTCTTTGAAAAGGAGTTATAAACCTTTCCTCCTAAAATAAAACCACATTTGACGGCTGAAATCTCACTGTTTTCTTTTTTTTTTTTTTGGTATATACTAAAACAATTTTTCACCTCATTGTGAGTGAATAGTTGCAAGATTTACCTTTTCTAAAGCCTGCTTGCTATTTCCGTAACGGGCTATTGCATTTAATATCTGCGCACCCCCTGGTGAGGATTGGTCTTTTCGAGTCTTTCAATCTAACCCCTAAAAAAAACCTCTGGAAAACATCTTAGTCCCTAACGAAATCCATTAAAAGCAACTTTACCCCTGAAGAAATCCAAAAAAAATTGGCTATCCCCTCGGGAATTCCATTGGAAATAGGCTTACCCTTTGACGGCTAAAGAATTCCAATTTGGGGGGGGTCTCATTCCCCTTAACAATTTATTTATTTCTGGCCTTGCCCCATAAGAAATCCGCCATTTCTTTTTGTCCCTTCCCTGACGAAATCCACTGTTCCTCAAAGAGGTGGGGGATTCAAATATTAAATGCAATAGACCAACTGTAGGTCAGGGTCTCAAAGAGGCTTAGGGCTCCAGGGCTCCAGGGCTCCAGGCTACAAAAATGCAGGGCTCTAGGGCTCCAGATCGTTTACTTAAGGGCTTCAGGCTCCACTGTGGTATACAGTTTATACCGAGCTATGGGAAACGAAAGACAGGCCTTTAGATGAGAAAAGCGCAATTTTCTCATCTAATGCATGAACTTTCCTTATAGTAAACATTAAAACCCCCTCAAGCCTGATCAAACCTGGTCAAACCTGGTGGGTTATTTTGTCCTCCCTGATCCCTCATTATAATATAAAAAAATAAAAAATGTCTGGTAATTTCATTTCTTCCTGGTAGAGAGTTACATTTTCCTTGTAAGGATGTTCTCATGTAGATATAATCCAAAAGAATCGCGAGTTCTGAATTTAACTAAAAAGTTCCAGAAATAATCAGAGTTTTACCTTCGGTTCTAGCTGCCTGGTTTCATTTCAAACTGCCTTCAAAACGCACAACATGCAATTTTGGACAACCTAATTTTTCAAATACACTCTTTTTTTATAAGAATATATTTTATAAGAATATTGAGGCTGTAATTTGCGAAATTTTGAGAATATTATAAGGATAAAGTCGAGGCTGAGATTTTGAAAAGAATATTATTTTGTGTTGAAAAGATTTTAATACAATACAACTTTCTTTCTCCAAAGGGAAACACAAGCCAATAAAACGATAACAACCAACTCTCCCCCATGTTAGGCGCTAATACAATTCCCGGAAAAACAATATTCTTATAAAAAAAAAGAGTGTACATGCCCCTGAACCCCCCTAGTAGCTCAATCCATCAACCCTTGTCAGGTATCGCATATTGGCACTTTCAGTGAACCGCCATTCAAGTCATGTTAGTGAGCCTTCTAAATGCTAAGAACAGTAAATGTAAAACTAGCTTCTTCAATACTCAGTGAGAGAAAAATACTCAATTTCAAGACAAATGTTTAAATAACGTCGACCAGAAGTGAACAACTCATATAAGTTGCCGGCATGGCAGAGGAAAAAAGAAGGCAAAAGAAATCGGATCT